TCTAAAGTCACTTCTGAGAGCTTAATCTTATCCAAAGAACCCTTGGCCAAACTGGATCTAGTAGAGAGACTGGCTTGCTTCAGCTTAACAAAACAAAGTCTGAAAGCTGTCTTATACACTTGAGGTAAGCCCAAGGAACCAAGAAATCTTACTGATGCTGAAGGATAACACTGGCTCAATACCAAGTGGATATAAACCAGGACAGACACTGAAAGGGAAATTCTAAGCAATGATATAATTACGTATGAAATAGACTTTGAATAGAAGTGAATTCTGGTTTTAACAGAGTTTACCCAGATCATGCAAGGTATCATAAATCATACAAGTACTGTCATACTGTATGACAACTTATGAGAGTAGAAAACAGGACATAATGGTCAAGAAAACTGATTTCTCACCTCTGTAACCCATTTCAGGATTCACGACTTCTTTACAGAAAAGCAGAAAATAGATTCTGCAATACCATTCCTATCTTTCCAAAAGCTTCAGGATACAATGTATTATTTAAATAGCACATTACATCAAATTTAAAATAAATCTGCAACTGTCTTTGGAAGATTTTGCTTACACTTTAAATGTTAAATTTTAAATTAGTTGCAAGCCTCTAAGGAAAATATATCCACAGATTATTAGAGAAGTGTTTCCAAAGCTTTTGCTTAGAGAGACTATAGGGAGCTCTGCTACGACATACTTTTGTAATTTTGTAGTTCACTGTTAATTGAAACGTTGAGCTATGTCAGCCAACAAGACCAAATTATTAATTTTCTGAATATTCTTTTTCAGTGGACTAGTCATGCTTCGAGCAGAATCCATTTTGTAGCTACTGATGGTTATCAGGCATCAATGCTGGTTCTTGTACTTTCACTATAATCAAAAGACTGCAGAAAAAGTGTTTGAAAGAGGGCAGACATGAGTACTACTCACCATGTTTGGTTTGTGTGGCCAGGTTTTTGCAGTGCGGGAGCTACAGGGGTGGCTCCTGTAAGAAGCTACTAGAAGCTTCCCTAAGTCCAGCAGAGCCAATGCCAGTGGCTCCAGGATGGAACCTGCCATTGGCCAAGGCCAAGCCAATCAGTGGTGGTAGAAATGCCTCTGTGATAACATACTTAAGAAGTTATTACACAGATGTAATTGTGGGCAGAGAAGAGAGGAGTGAGAATATGCGAAAGGAACAACTACGGAGACACCAAGGTCAGCGGGGAAGGAGAGGGAGAAGGTGCTCCATGCAGTGGAGCTGAGATTCCCCTGCAGCCCTTGGTGAAGACCATGGTGAGGCAGCTGTTCTCTTGCAGCCCGTGGAGGTTAATGGGGTGCAGAGATCCATCTGCAGCATGATAGGACCTGTGACCCTGTGGAGGTCCCATGCTGGAGCAGCCTGTTCCTGAGGGACTGCAACCCATGAAAAGGGACCCATGCTGGAGCAGTTCATGAAGAACTGCAGCCCATGAGAAGGACTCATGTTGGAGAAGTTCATGGTGAACTGTCTCCCATGGGAGGGACCCCACACTGGAGCAGCTGAAAGACTCCTCTCCCTGAGCAGTGTCAGAAAAAAGGTGTGATGAATTGACTGTAATCCCCATTCCTCATCTCTATGTTCTGCTGTGGGGGAGGAGGTAGGGCTGGGAAGGAGGGAGGGGTGGGGAAAGCTGTTCTTAAGATTGTTTTAATGCTCTGATTTTGTTAGCAATAACATCACTTAATTTCCCCAATTCACGTCTGTTTTGCCTATAACAGTATTCAGTGAGTGATTTCTCCCTGTCTTTATCTCAGCTCATGAACCTTTATTATATTTTTTCTCCCCTGTCTATTTGAGGAGGGGAGTGGTAATGTGGCTTTGGAGGGTTCCTGGCATCCAGCCAGGGGCAACCTGCTACACTCACTTACATAGGATCTCAGCAAAATCTATGGACGTCACATAATGCAAGGTCTTTGCACTTGTACTTAAGGAAGAAAGACAACTTCCTTTTCTAACAAATGTTCTTTCCAGACAACCGATTAGTAAACCAAACCGGATGCAAGAACAGCTTCAGAAAAATTATACCACAAGAGCCTTCAAGAGCTGTTGCAGATGTGAGTGGGAGGCAGAATGATCAAACAAGACAAAACCAGTAAGGAAAGCTCAGCCAAGACTATACGCTACCACAGAGACTTGCCCAAAGTTTGGGTTAAAATCTATGAAATAAGAGACTACAGTGTGGCTGCCAGCTGTAAGAAATATATCATTTATTTCAAGTTTGGTGTTAAAGAAACAAATTAATAACCTAAGGTAATTGCTATGGTTTTAATCTGTGTTCATCAGAAGGGCTTTATAGTACTCTAACATTGAGAGCACTCCCCACATGATATATTAACAGAACTTTATAATGTGTACTTATCATATCTCATGCTGCTAGGATATATAGTACCTCTACATCAATGAAACGTAAAGAGAGATAACAATTTAGCAAATTATTTTACCTACTTGAAAACTAAGAATGGATTGCATAACATATTTTAAAACCTTCCATTTATTTGTGCGAACATGTTCCTTTTCCAGTTTTAACATGACAAATACTTACTATTTTTCTACCTAGCTGCCAAACTGATGCATTTTATAATCTTGATCTTTCTTCAGAAGGCTTAGCCAGCTAGCCAAAAAAACCCAAAAAAACAATCCCTGTAGCCTCACAGAAGAAAGAGTTTAGACATACCAGCTCCTAGAAAGTATGCACATAAATTACCAAATAGAATATAGTTAATGATTGTGTAATCATAGTATGCAGTATATAAATAGATAATGATGGTATAGTTAACTTTATTTGCAAAATTTAAAACTTCTTTAAGCTTACAATGGTTTGTCAAGGATTTAAAAATGAAAAAGTTTATTTCAGAAATGAAGCATATTAATCTATCATTCTTGCTTTAAGCTACTGAATAAGATAAAAGGGGTGAAAAAAGCACCATCCTCTCACTGTAAAGTTAAAGGGCAGAAAAGAGGAACAATTAATATCTCAGGCTGCAAACATGGCAAAAGTTATGAAGTCTTGGGGAGGTGGGAGATGACTTTGGGGAAATCATGTCAGCCTACAATGAAGAGAAATCATAATTAAAAAAACTACACCTGTCATATGTTTAGATTTTTCTTATGATCATTAACTTGATTTTTTTGTTATCCTGTAACTTTTTGTTTATTGTGCTATGAAGTTAAAAAAAAAACCAAAACAAATAAGAATCAAAACAAACACACCCCCCAAAGAAAAAAACCAACCCAAACCAACAGATAAAGGTATTACAATTTTGGTATCACATCACAGCCAGTGGTAGTCACTGGGACATCAGCCATACTCTCTTTAATTCAAGAACTTCCACTTTACTGAGCTATGCATGAATAGTGCAGTGGGGTCTATGACCCACCACTACATTGCTTAAACATACTTCTGAAAATTTCCCGGAGGAAAAAGAAATCCAGTGACCTTTTCCGTTCTTTGGTTGGCAACTTCAGTTATTAACGCAAATTATTATTCTGCTGTAAGCCAAGAATGATTTGCATTCTCTTACTTCAGAACACTGCTTAAGGACACATTATTCTGAGAAACCATAAATTGAGGACTTGGACTCGAAAAGAATTTTCAGATTAAATAATTTGAATTACCGGCAACGCATCCTAAGAGATGAGTCATTCTAATAAAATTCACTGAAAAGGAAATAAACCACTGATTATTTTTTGACGTAAATACATGAAAATATGGTAGAGGAAAAGAGAGGCTGTTCAAAGAGATAAGAATTATGTTGCATCCAAGTTCTGTACATTTTCACAAATCTCTTTGTGTTCTAAACATTTTGTTAAATTAAAAGAGAATGCAGTTAATTCTGCTTAATGTTACACAGGCACTTGGAAACTGTTATTTATTTTTATTTAATATTCAAAATAAAAGCTGTTGATAATCATAAGCGATTGTGTAAAGTCATTAATTAAAAGGTTGAACCAGGTATGGTTAATATATATTAATATATGGTTATAATGTATGAGGTAACATTTAGAATTTATTATTGCAACTCAACAGGACAACTTACAGCTCATAAATGGATGGAAGTTGTCTGCATTAGCAAGAGGAATTTTAGTTTACACTGGATGATGCATGCTTTTTTGCATATTCGTTTTGACACATTTCACACAAGCACACGAATACAGGAGTTCAGCTGGGTTTGCTATGCAACAGGTTATATTCATTCCATCTATATTATTATATATATCTTGAATTCTTCCTAACAAATTTTAGACATTTAGCCTATCCTAAACATCTTGGGCTTTATCAGGTACAGAAATATTTCAGAAAACAGACAGTTCAAGAGTTAATTCAGTTAATATGAGTCAGCTATACCTGGTAATTACAACAGGTTCAGCATATTTCATACTGGATACCACGTCAATAAACCATCACACAAGGGAAAAGAAATATTTGCAAGTTCAGACTAACAGCGTTGCAGAGAGGAATGTCCCTCTAACAAAACCAGCTTTGTTGGTTGGATTAGTTTTCTCATTGGAACAAAAGGCAGACATTTCGCATTGGAACAAAAAGTCCATTCCAAACTTTAAAGTACAGTTTAGATGGACTCAAAACATGTACATTCCACAAGCAAAAACATGGCCTACAAAACTTGATACCTCTGGTATACTCAGGTACCAAGAAACAACATTTGAAAATTCAGAAAAGACATCAGTCATCCTGTTTTTCTGAAGTTACTTTGTGAAACTCTGTGAAATATTTTTTCACCAAATGATACTGAATCAATTTTTAGTCTCAAAATCTCTTCTTTTAATACTTTTAGTATATCTTCATGATTCAAGCCATTATTTTTATTAAGCATCTACAGACCACCAAATATTTGAAGAACCTCACATAAAAAGAAGGGGAGAGGGACATGTCCAATACAGTTTTATTTCCCTTTTAACATACATTAAGAACAACAAATGTACATATCACTTACAGACCAATAGCCATCAGTTGGGTTCCACTTACCACAGGCTGATTGCAAAGGTAACGGCAAAGTTCTCCAATGTACTGGATGACAGTCACATTGTACTTTTTGCAGTCACTCCAAAACTGACTAGCTGAGAACTTCTTTTTTAACACACAGGTTGCACCTTTATGGAAACAGTAGAAAAGGAAGCAATTTCTCTGTATGGCAGCTTAGCTAGTTATGTTCACTGTTTCTACAAAGTAGAATATCAGGGGAACGAAGAACAGCCTCCTTCAGAGAACTATGTGGTGTTTAAGCTTTTTTATTAGAAGATTTTCAAACCTGGTAGACAAAGAAGGGAGAGGACCCCAGCCCCCTTGCTGTGACAGTAAAGCAATAGATAAGAGCTTAAAAACAAGAAGACAGCTTCTCTTTGTTGTTGTCATAATATTATTCAAAAGAATTTAAATTAAAATATCTGGAAAATTCAGCCTGAATTAGCAAACCATTTGGGTATCACTGAAACCTCATTTTCCAAGAAGGTATTTATCAATGCAGATTCAAACAGAAGTAATACATAATACAATGTTATTTCTCTTGCTCTGACTTATCTTTGATGCACAGGGAAACAGGAAATATTTGCCATCAAATTCCAAATAAATATTTTATAAGAGATTCATTGAGGACACCTACATCATCTCAGTAAAACACATATCTCTTTGTCCATGTCAAAACAGTACATAAATTGAAGAGAAAAAAAAAGTTAATGACATATGACAAAGCTGATTGTTTGCTATGAATGTATTTGTCAGTCTTTTTAAGTTCACCAAAATACATTTTAATTCTATTCCACTGTACAGTGCTTAGTTTGTATATATACTAATGCACTATACACACTCCAAAAATATTACATAGGTACAAAAATTCCTTTTTACAAAAATATAAAAGAAAGTAAAAACATTTGTGATACAAATGTCTATAACTAACTCTTCTCTAGTACCACAAAGAGAGCTTGTAGAGATCCCTTGTTATTACACCACCACTCTGCTCTCCAAAATAAAGAAATACAAAGCTATTCCAAAAACAGTATTCATTTAATTTCAGCAAAGCATTAGTTTCCCTAGTGGCAGTGAACCTGTGTTTTATAAATTTTTATAATAATTCATTTTCTATTAACAACATAATTATATTAAAGGAGCTGTACCCAGTTCAATGCATCCACTGATGCCAAGAAGAGATGCTGCACTGTGATAAAGAGGCAGAGTGATATAAATGATGTCTTCTCCAGTAGCACCAAAAGCCCACAGTCCAGCAGCTCCTTTAAGAACCTGCATGTGACTGATGACTGCAGCCTTTGGAAGACCTGGAATAAAAACATGAAACCATGCATAAAGCTTCTCTTACAGAGAACTCGACTTTTAATTTTCCCCCCTGTGTAGTCTCTAAAAATCATTAAAGAATCAATTCTTTCTTCCATAACTAAATTTTCAGCCATCTGTTTAGATTACCATTAATAGACAACTATTTAATACAGTATTGCATGTTTGTTCTGTACATGTAAAGATAAACCATTTTGTAACCTTATCTGTTTGTTATTTGATCTGATATCAAGTCTATTCAAATAGGTGGAACAGGAAGAAACTCCATGGTTTGCCTTCTATCAAATTACATAGAGCCAGCAAATGGCCAAAAACATTTACTCTACATATGGACTTTCTTTAACATAAAGAGGCATCACACCTGTCAGGCAAGAGCCATGGTAACTGTAAGGTAAATAAGAAAGGTAAGGGATCTACATGAAGTAGATCACATAGTGGTGCTTATCTAAGAATCAAACATCTATACCTTCCTATTGGCTTTAGAACACTAAGAAGCCTATGTAGAATTTAAAAAACAAAATCCATTGAAAAGCCCACTCCTGTTAGGTCTTCTTAATCAGCTTCATGAGGCTCAGTATGGCATCTCTGTCCAGGAACATGCAGAATCACATGCAAGGGCTTTTTGGGCTACTACTCTGTACCCAACATTTTGAGTAGATGTGATCTTGCTTCATATATGTTCTCACACACACACAAATTTCAGGCTGCCGACGAACAGTGAGAACTATTCCATTTTTTTAAAAAAATGTAATGGTTCATAAAGTTTTCTCACCTCTTCTAGAAAAGTTATGGTTCATTTGAAGACATGACTAGAGCTGTTAACTGGAAGTATAATCCGTGCAGATTTTAACTACACTCCAAGGTTATTCCAAATTTCATCACACTAAAGAGGAAAGGCAATAAGCCTAAATTGCTAATGAGCCACTAATAGCAAGACGTTTTCTGCTGCCTTTAGTTTTTATTTCTGCTGTTACAGAGAGCAGATAGATAATCACACAGATACTCTCAATGCAGTAATAAAGAACAAAATCATCCTACATGGATAATTCTATATGACTTTTTAGCTATTTTTAACTTCTTACTTTTAACCAACAAGCTCAACCATGTTTATATTAGTAGTACGACAAACATACCTCACCTCTTGGCAGTATTTACAATTGTCTGATTTTTTATTCTAGACTGAAATTCTTATTTCCTAATTCTTTCCCAGAACCCTGATCAAATAAATTAAACTATTACTTGTATGAAGAACAAAGCCATAAACCATATATTCATTTTAAATCTTCTTGTGACTACAATTGCTGTGTTCAACTGAATGAGAATGGCAATCTGCTCAACTTAACAACATCATGCTGCTTTTCATGTCCGCGATCAGGTGTTTTTAAGTCTTAGCTTCTTAGCTGCTGGAGCACTGGTAATAAATTCAGACATCTGTTTCTAAACTAATAGGCTAGTAACTTAATCCTATTTTCTGTCTCTAAGGTGACCTGCATAAAACATGACTTCATAAAGGAAAAACCAATGTCTATTTGCTTGTTTCACGATTGCTTTTTAAAGTTCTGGATAAAATCTTAGCTATTGTAGCTAGGCAGTGGTATGTGGTTGCAAATTAATATCTATTATCACTGTAAATTTATCAAAAAAGCAGAAACATTTTATAAACACCTTAGATGTGAAGTAGTAAGAGGTAAAGCCGCTCAGAGTATTAGCACAATGTGGCAGAAAACAAAAAAAGAAGAGAAGCCCATAAACCACTGAATAGAAAGAGTCACTGACAAGAAACATGCGTGTTTTCTATAATAATGCTTCTAGATGAGAAATACCTCATTCTGCTACTAAAAGATGAACCCAAAGATTAGAGTTTCAGAAAAGTCAAGTTTCTAGATGAAAGCTGAAGGAAAACATAGACCTTTTTAGCAGACCTGTACCTGTTGTTCCTGAAGTAAATATATATAAAACAGCTGACTTGAGGTTGTTGACAGAGCATCGATCAACTGCGACTGGGTCTTCAGATGCAGCTTCTATTTTGTCCAACAGGGTATGCACACTCGGAAAAGTGGAGTCTTTGGTCATTATCCAAACACTAATATCTTTTTGAAGGTTAGGAAGAATTTCTTCCAGTGTTCCAAGCAAATCTTAAAAATTAACATGAAACAATATTACTTACATTATGTCTTCACAAAAGCAGAAAATAAAGTACTTTTTTCTCTTGAATTTTTACTTTTCATAACAGAAACAGAAATGAAAGTCACATCCATGGATATAAATAGATTCAATAAAATAGTAATAAACTGCAGTGAAAATTCACTGCCAAAAATACTGCTGGACCCACGTAGTCTAATTGTCAACGAGCCGTCAAGGAAAAATTGTGAGTTTTGATTAGTAGCTTCTGCTTCCCACATGACTTGAGATAACCCTTAGTCATTGCTAAGACCTGGAGTGTGGTTAAGATTCAACTTCAAATAAATAATTAAGAAATTAATTGAAGATGCAAGTAAATATATACATAACTGGTAATTACAGTGCAGGTTTCCTTGAATGCCCTCAACAGTGAACTCTCATTGAATATTTCTTTTCAAAAGCATGGAAGCGACTAATTTAAAACCAACCAAACACCCACACAAGCTATATCATGGGGACCTGAATTTCACAGAAAGGAAACATGATACAGGCCTGTGGCTTATTCATACACTGCTAAAGACCCATGTGGCCATTTATGTAGTGCTTTGAGTGTTTTAAAAACTTTAATGAATTTGACTGTGGGCACATCAATTTTGTTTTCTTGTAATCATGTGTTAATCTACTGAAAGCTATTCCTTCTACTGGCCTTTACCTGTATAACAACACTTTCGAGGGTTTGGACAATGCTCTCAAGCACATAGTGTGACTCCTGGGGCTGTTCCGTGCAGGGCCAGGAGTTGGACTTTGATAGTCCTTGTAGGTCCCTTACAACTGAGAATGTTCTGTGATTCTGTATATAAATATAAACTTACTTTTATTAAATAAAAACCAGCATTCTAACTAAGATCAATTTTGTTGGTTTATCAGGAAAGAAACAATGAGAGAGATTCCCAGACTAAACAGAAAGAGAAAATGTAGAGGCCAATCCTTAAATAATGTGTTTGGTACTTCCATTTCAAAGCATTTTTATGATCTGCCACTTTCTCAATGCACAGGCACTGAAGTACTAATTCAGGAAAAAGCTCAAGAATAGGAGAAATATTGCTTTCAATAGAACTCATTTACACTTAAGTGCTTTAATACACCAGTCTGTGTAACCGATCTTGCAAATATCCCCATGGGTATAAATTTATGTTATTATCTCAGTTTTTATAGATGAGTAAACAAAGTTGATATGACTCACCCAGAACCTCACAATGAGGCATTTTCAGAGCCAACATTTGAAATCCTGATGTTAACTCCAAGCTCATTTCACAAATAATATATACGGATGTGATTAATGGAATGTGTAAGTTTTATACCAAAATAACATAAGATTTTTAATCTTTCAGAAAACTACTTTCTTAATGACAGACTGCTGTATACATTTTAATAGCATACTGATTTTTATTACTATTACAGAGATATAGCTTACCAGCATCAGCTAAACATGTCTTACTAAACCCTACAGAGTACAGGTTTTATATATTTTATGAGCATTTACCAAACAGATTTGACAGAGTGTAACATGAAAATTTTTGTGTTCTTACTTCCTTGTGGTGCAGAATGATTTCAAGAAGGAAGCAGCCAAATAATTATTAAAATCTCAAAGACAGATAGCCTGCTGTTTGAACATTGGAGTACAGTCCTGTTCCATTATACATAGAAATAGAGTGAAAAGGTGTGAATAAAAAATAATGTTAAGGTCAATAGCATTAGCTGCAGGAAAACATATGCACTGAATGTCAAGATTTGTTGGCATATTAATACTGAATTGCTGTCCTATAATAGAATTATGGTATATTTTTTCAGGTAATACATAGGAAAATACAACAGTATTATTTCTAAACAGCTGTTAATAAACCAGGTGTGACAGAGTGACTATATACTATATATTACCTTCAAGTACTGATTTTTGTCTTCCTATTATGCATATATGTCTCTTAAATATACTAAGGATAGTTTGTGTAGGTACAAGTTAGGCTGAAAACCTAGCAAAAGAAACAGAGGTGTTAAAAGTGGCTGGAGCTCCATTTTTGTTATCAAAAATAGTAAAAGAATATGACATTCTCTGTCATTCTTAACTAGTGCACTGGCTGCAACTACAACATCAGTAATGGTGTTTAGGACTGCTATGAATATCTTGGCTCCTCCAGCCTTCAGTAATCACTTGAACCAGACTTGGTTGTTCATCCTGTGTAGGGTCCTCACGTGGTAACAAACATGACACACAACTATTGAGGAAAAAATGCCCAGTAAAAGTCAATATGCAGAATTATCCTATGCAACTAAATTGTAACTGTAAATGAAATTTCACCTGTTGTTTAATTGAAAACTATCCTCCTGCAAAAGACCTACCAAAACCATAACAAACCTCAATTAGCACCATTCTTTTTAAGTACCACAGGTACTGAAGGAATCATTGTAGCATTTCCTTATTTTTGATAGGTAAATTTATTCCTCCTTGCACTTCCTTAAATTTTTTTCATTTTCATATTTTTAAAAATTAAGATGAAACTGTACTACTTACCAACTCTCAATTTCTCTACGGAAGACAGTTTTGTTCAGTACTGCATGGCATAAAATCACAAACATTTCTAATTTTTCAGTATTGAGAAATTCTAGATACGATGTGCACCAAGTTCTTTGTGCATTTGAGTAACATGAAGTGCAAGTCTGTCTAAAAGAATAGGACTTACCTCTTCTTTTTCTGCTTGCCTCTTTTCTTCCTTCAAAGGAAGAAAGATGGCAACTATTCATTTCAACCCTACAAACACAATGATTTAAGATTCAAGAATGACATGAGGGCACAGCTCCCTTTTAGGAGACTGAAACACATACGCCTAAAATAAATAAGATCTATCTTCAAATTAAACGTACACACTGTTTATTGTTTCTCTAAACACTCACTCTTCAAACCTATGATTTTTGAGGGGTTTTGCTACAACTGGATTATTAAATGATTATACAGTAGAATTTTTCTTCTGTGCTCAGGAATACAGTGCCTGGAACAATATGTGAACTGCTTGTAATTGAACACTATCTTGAAAGAAACTTCTAGGTAGAGAGCAGAGAACAGCAGAAACAATTAATGATTTCCTGAATAAAAAAGGGTAATTTAAACCAGCTGTATTCAAAGTGCCAGAAACTGAAAGGTACTTCTGGAACACACAAGAGATAGGGTGTTTGAAGATAACTCTCAGTTGTAACAACATATTTCCAAATAATTCTAATGATAGTCAATTGATGCTTTGTTCCATGAACAAGAAAATTCTGTGCCAAACACTGTGTAGGAGATTCTGGTCTTTACATATCATCTTGTCCATGTGTTGGCCAAAAACAGTTCTCTTGGGAGAACTGTAATTTGATTATTTTTAGAGGTACCTGGTATGTGCACTTTATCATATATGGAAGTATACTAAAGCAATTCAGCTTTTTAAACTTGTGGTTTCTCTCAAGTATTTGTTTACTTTTTATCCTACGAAACAATATTCAGGTTTTGGTTTACTTGTTTTGGAAGAAATGACCACTTATATAAAGTTTGGCAAGTTCCGTCTGTGTTGTTTACACAGTTTGTATACAAACATTCAACATTTGCTTATTATTTAGTGCCTACTGGGAAAAAAATATCTGGAATTGATCAAGATGGATATGCTTCTCCACTTTTGTTGCTTTTCTTTTCCTCTTGTTTTCAAGGCATTTCATTATTCAACAAAAGTTTGTGAAACTGTTACATTAAACTCATATGAACACATAACTCAGTTACACCTTTTGAGAAAGCAAGGAAAACATGTTTCAAACAACTGTCCTAGGCTTCAAGTTGCACAAAGGTTTTTTATGCTATTTTCTAGCAATGAAACAATGCGGGCTTCTGGCAAGGACACAGTCCCACACTGATGAAAGGAATACATCAGATTACGAGATCAACTTGTACTGAACAGAAAGTTACTCAGAAAGAAAACTGCATGAAATGACTCTTGCATAACTTTGATGTGCACCCTGGCTCATATGCTCAGGAAGCTGTGGCAAGTCCAAACCCTTCTCCACACTGTCTGGCCTCAGACAGCAGTTGTTACTTGTACTTGAGCCCCCAGGTGACTCCTCATACTCAGCATGTATTCTTACAAAGTAATAATAACACAAAAGTCAGCTATGACTCAGGATCAGTCTTGCTATCTTGAAATGCCTCTGAAGGCAGCAAAGGTAATAAACTCCACCTTGAGAATCCCAGCTGGTCCTGTTTTCCACTCAAAGGCCATCTGAGATACAACACAGACTAAGTAAGAGCAAGTGATCAGAGGTATTATGCCTAACAGAGGAGGTAAGAGTGTCTTCCATGGGTCTTCCTCAGTTGCCTTGTCCTAAATGTTTGGGCCTAAATAGCTTTTTATTCCAAGTAGTTAAGAAGAGATAGGTTTTATAAAGTACATTCTTTTTTTTCACTCAGAGACTAACACGAGACATGATACTGTTACTTATATGTAATACCATATGACCTTAATTTACAAATACCAAAAAATATTTTGTTTATTGTCTTTCTTTAGGATGTAGACACACTTCTGTCAAGTTCAGAATACACTTGGCAGCAGCAGAAAGCACTGCTAGTGTCTCAAGAGCAAAGAAGCCTGGCTAGGAAAATGCTATACAGCTGAAGGATGTAATTCTGTACAGAACTGAAAAGTCACAGAATGGCTGCGCAAGGAAGGAACCTCTGGAAGTTATTCTGGTCCACTTCCCCTGCTCAAGCAGACCCATGCAGAGCAGGCTGCCCACACGTGTCCATGCAGCACGTACACTGCCTTAATAGCCTCTGTTATTAGAACCTATGTAAATCAATCTCATGGTGTTTAGAATGCAATCCTCTAGCAGCTGAATCCTTGCATCAGAAGTCATGATAGCAAATCTGGGATGCCCTACTCTGAGCTGAACTCATCCAAGCAGGAGCATCCTGGAAATGCACTATAAATTCCATTTGTACCTTTCTGGTGGGTCCCTAGATTGCAAGAGTTGTTTAATAGTATTGCTGATACACTGATACTGTCCAAAAGATACAAGCAAGACTTCAATCAACAGAAGTATTTCTGAGAAAAGACAAAGTGCCTTAAAAAATTTCTTAGTTTTAAGCAGTATCTTACTCCTCTGTTTACCCAGCAGCTTTTAAACAATTAAGAGTGGCATAATCTGGTAACAAATGTAGTAAGGACAAATACCTTTTGAACAGGTCAGATTGCTATTACAGTAAGCTAATGGTGACTGGCTTCTTTCTTTTTCCTCTACAAGTTCGTAATTTACTTACAAGTTAGTTCACTGCTGTTTTATTAAAAAAGCAGTTTTAAACAGCAACGTTTGAATCTCTTCCAAGAAACATTCCGCAGAATGGGAGTGGTGGTAGACAGTGCTTCTGGGAATGGAAGTGTGAGAATGTTATGTAAGTAATTAAAGCAAGAGCTAAATGGTCTGGGAACACAGCAGCCAAATGAGAGTAGTTAAAGCAAAAAACTGACACAAATGCAGATGGACATACTGCAAAGGAACACAAAGGCTAAATATTGTCAAATTATAGAATCTGTATTTTCATTTAGGCTTTTCATGTTGGATGAGAGGTAAAAAAAAAATTTACAAGATTGTGCTAATTGAATTAAAAGAACATTGCTGTCATAGAAAAAAAAATCAATGTTTTAGAGACAGCCACTTCATACAAAAAAAAAACAAGAGGGAGAAATTTTTAGGTTTTTATAACATATCTGAGGCTTAAAAATAAAACATTCAATTCCAAAGTTCTAAGAAAAATTTAAGTCAAAATCAACCTCCCAAAACTTCAGTACTGCTGGAAGACTCCCATCTAAAGTTAGAAAAAGCAATCAAAACATCAGAGAATTGTCAGACCAGAAGAAAGTCTGATTCCAAGTGCTGAAGCAAAGACAAGATGATACTAATTGGGTCAGGTTGCCAAATCACAACACCTGAAAAATATGCAGGCACCCAGCAAATGTGAAGAGTACAAATTTGGCAAATGAGACTGATCTTGCAAGAGGCAATATGAAAAACTGAACAAAGCATGGAAAAAATGCAACCATAAATGGTATCCAGCCTATTTGTATAGAGGTATTGCACTTGTAAAAAACAAAATAGTTTTTGAAAATTACAAGATGTACCAAAAGAAGCTGCAAGGTGCAATCATCTCACACAAAGGGAAGATACACCATCCTTCTGAGCAGGGAGGATTTAGCAATAAACAATTATCTATGAGTTCCTGATGTAATGTGCCACTACAGACATGAATTTCAAGAGCAAGTTTGGTCTTGCTGAGCACAGGCAGTTAATGGTCGAATTGTTAAACAGATGATTTCTGCCATGCTGCAGTCTATGAATAAGATCAAAGGTCATCCAAAATACTGAAGATATAGGTTTGTAACTATTACAAGAAACCGATTCACTAAGTCTAGCCTGTATTTGTTTGTGGAAGGTGAAAAACCTTTTATTTTTGAAAATCAGAACTGTCACCACTATCCAGAAATACTGCCATTGCATACTAATCTCTGATCAAAAAAACCAGTTTTAGTTGCCAAACATGATGCCTGACTATGGCAATGACAGATATTAGACCACAGGTTGATTGGTTTTAAGTATAGATACTATGTTTACTATGTTCAATCTATGCACATTCCTGTGAAAATTCTGCCTCAATAGCAAAATGCACAAGAACATCATGCCTATTGATAAGGAAGAATCCTTTGAAACACATACTAACACTGGATGAAAAGATTATCCCAATTCTACTTTGCAACAGCTTTTTTCATTCATTAGTTAACCCCTCATTAAATAAAAACCTCTCTTAGATACAAGTTTTGATATCAAGTTTCTTCTTCACCACAGTCAACAAGCAAGTTCCTGAAAATTAATTTTATGTTTCAATCCATGTATTCAAAACCACATATTCATTAGAGGGCATTAAACAAGTTTTATTTTAATTAAGTAAGAAGGCAAAATGAAAGTCTGTCAGTTCAGAAGCCTTGTTATCATGTATTGGGATTATATTTAAATCGGCTTTTGTTTCATTAGCTTGTTTTAATTACCAAGCATTCCTGAACCAGAATACCATAGAGAAATCAGAATGATAAAACTTACAATTAAAATATATGCAAGAGAAAAATCTTAAATACATTTTTGAAGACACAAATTTGTAGCAGCAGAGAACAGGTGAAGGAAATTCCACCATTTAGGTGTTATGGATGCAAAATCCCACAACCTGTGTAACAGGAGTAGGGCAGGAAGCTGTGAAACAGAAATAAGGCAAAGCAGACTTAAATCATTTTAGAGATGCGGGACAACATTAACATGCAATAATTTGAAATATTTTCCTCCAACTAAACATTGAGATTCTGTGCGACCTTTTAGCATTACAGGTTCACTTGCACTTGATCATAAATCCTGTGGTAAGTTTAGGTTTTGGATGTCTTCAGTTTATACGTCTCTATAACTGAAGCCCAATTTGAAGGTACAAAGCCTACATCAAGATTTTAAATTCTTTTGAAGCATGTAATAAAAATGCAAAATTCTGGAACACACACTACTATCCCTATTCACACACAGCAACTTCTTCTACAATCCAACACCAACAGTAAGCTGGTTTTTACTAATCAACCTCCTAAATGCTCTACTCTCGAAACTTTAGTTCCTGGAAAACTACTGTACCTCTGCAAACAGCAGAGGTTTTACAGTCTGAGCTTAGACCTTCAGGTTTTGAAGGTTTTTTGATGAGTAGAAAGATGGGGAGATAGCATGAGAGAACAAAGCACATGAATTTAATGGATGAAGGGAAGGCTGTCTATGTGGTCGGTCTGGACTTCAGCAAGGCATTTGACATTGTCTCCCACAGCATACTTCTAGAAAAACTGGCTGCTTGTGGCTTGGACGGGTGGACTCTTTGATGGGTTAAAAAGCTGGCTGGATGGCCAAGCCCAGAGAGTTGTGGTCAATGGAGCTAAATCCAATTAGTGGCTGGTCACTAGTGGTGCTCCCACAGAGCTCAGTATTGCAGCCAGTCCTATTTAATGACTTTATTGATGATCTGGACATGGGGATTGCGTGCACCCTCAGTAAATTTGCAGATGACACTATGTTAGGTGGGAGTGTCAATCTGCCTGAGGGTAGGAAAGCTCTACAGACAGTCCTGGACTGACTTGATCAATGGGCTGAGGACAACTGCATGAGGTTCAATAAAGTGAAGTGCTGGGTCCTGCACATGGGACACAACAACCTCATGCAGAACTACAGGCTGGGGGAAGAGTGGCTCAAATGCTGTTCCCTAGAAAGGGACTTGGGAGTGCTGGTGGACAGCAGCTCAATATGAGCCAACAGTGTACACAGGTGGCCAAGAAGACCAATGGCATCTTGGCCTGTATCAAATTGTGTAGTCAGCAGGACTAGGGAAATGATCATCCCCCTGTACTCGGCATTGGTGAGGCCACACCTCGAGTACTGTGTTCAATTTTGGGGCCTTCACTCTAAAAAAGACATTGAGGCAGTGGAGTGTGTTCAATCAAGGGCAATGAGGCTCATCAAAGGTTGTGGCCAAGAAGACCAATGGCATCTTGGCCTGTATCAAATTGTGTAGTCAGCAGGACTAGGGAAATGATCATCCCCCTGTACTCGGCATTGGTGAGGCCACACCTCGAGTACTGTGTTCAATTTTGGGGCCTTCACTCTAAAAAAGACATTGAGGCAGTGGAGTGTGTTCAATCAAGGGCAATGAGGCTCATCAAAGGTTGAGAACACATGTGAGGAATGGCGAAATGATCATCCCCCTGTACTCGGCATTGGTGAGGCCACACCTCGAGTACTGTGTTCAATTTTGGGGCCTTCACTCTAAAAAAGACATTGAGGCAGTGGAGTGTGTTCAATCAAGGGCAATGAGGCTCATCAAAGGTTGAGAACACATGTTTTATGAGGAATGGCTGAGGGAGTTTGGTTTGTTTAGCCTTGAGAAGAGGCAGCTCAGGGGTGACTTCAGGTGTTCTCTGCTGCTACAACTACCTGAAAGGGGGTTGGAGAGGTGGGAGATGGTCTCTTCTGCCATACCTGCAGTGAGAGGATTAGAGGGAACGGTCATCAGATGAGACAGGGGATATTCAGACTAGATATTAGGAAAAAATTTTTCACTATTAGGGTGGTCAGGCACTGGAATAGGTTGCGTAGGAAGGCGGAGGAGTCATCATGCCTGGAGGTGTTTGAGGCATCTAGATCTGGCACGGTTTAGGTATGGTTTAGGGGTTACTGCAGAGTGGCAGGCTAATGGTTGGACTTGATGTTCTTAGAGGTCTCCTCCAACGTTGATGATTCTGTGAACTAAGATTAAATCTGACTATTAATGAAGAAATGGAAAATTATTCTTAATAGACAATTTTAATATTTTCAGAGACACATTAAGCATCTACTGAACTGATTAAACACTTTGGAGCAGGCTGTACTTAGATACTGAAAACTCTCCTGCAATGCACATTTTTTAAGGTTAAATGGATGTCCCCAAAGCATTGATATACTTGATTCTGCCCGAGAGGCTGGAGTTTTATGATCTCTTGAATTCCCTTCCAGCCCTGGGTTTCTTTCATTCTGTGAACATCTCAAAATCAAGTTTTCAATAAAAAAGCAGTAGGGACAGAAATGTGGAAGATGTGACATTAAAAGCTTTGGATGTAGGAATTAGATGTACAACCTACCTGCTCCCACAACCAGTATCTTGGGCTCGCAGCTACTGACACAGTGCAGAAGAGATCTGGAGCGGACATTGAAGTTGAGGAAC